TCCCTGGGCCTGTGCACTCTCTAACCCATACTTACCCCCTGAGATGCCCTTGGGTTCCTAAACCACCAGTGCAGCCTAATGGGGAGAACCTGGCTGCAGGACCCTCCTTAATCTCTAGAAAAGTCAGCTAGTTGTGTTATGAAGCCAGGCCACCTCTGCCTTCTCACACTATCCCTGCCACCCAGCACAGATGGGGCACATAATAAGGGCCAGGAAGTATTTTGGAAATGGATGACCAGATGCAGGGGATATTCAGAAGAGAAAGGCCTTCTTTCGTGAAGAGCCAACATAGTAGTCCCCCACACACCCTTAAGACAGGGTCTTATGTAGGCTAGGCTGGCCTTGAACTCAGTCTGTTGAAAGACCTTTACTTCTAATCCTCCTGCCTCCACCTCTTGAATGCTGGGCTTGTAGACAAGTACCTGTTTTATTTGGTGCTGGCAATCAAAGCAAGGGCTTCATGCATTCTAGGTAAGCATTCTACCAACTGAGCTACATCCCAGCCCTTCCTTCAGTTGGGTTTTGAGAGAGAGTAGCTCCTCCATTACCCTGCCACCCAGACCCCGATGCCTATTTCAGTCTTGCTATAGAATGAGTAGCAGGATTCCCTGATGCAGAGAGTGGCATCCTAGACTTTGCTGCGCCCAACTTGATCCTCCATTTTGGTGTCACTGTCATTGCAGAAGAGAGGCCTAGGCCCTGGGACTCCCTCCAGCTTATATGGACACAGTCTCCTGGAGAGTGCCTAGCCTCCAGTTCAATTTGTAAGAGGGACTTGCCCAGGCCTGCACTTGGGTAAGAAATGAGGCTCACCGGAGTCCCAGGACAAGAGTATAGGCTTTTCTACCTGTACCATTACAGTCCTCTCCGTGGTCACCCACCTTCCACACTCCCAGGTGCTAGCCGATTCCCATGTGGTATATCTTTGTAAGGGTCAGCTCTGCAAATGCCTTCCCTTTCTAAGTGGGAGAACAAGCTCTCAGCCTGGCATTTGAGCCCTTTCATGTGAATTCCTTGGCCCCCACACATTCCATGCCACCTAACCCTCCAAGCCAGGCACACAGGATCTCCGGGCACTTCCTCAACAGCCTGTACCCTCACCCACTGAGTCTTGGCTTGGGATTCCTCCCTCCCCATCTCTGTCTGCTTGACAAGCCCAGGTTATCTATTAAGACCAGCTTCCTGGTGAAGCTTCCCCTGACCAACTCCCCAAGATACAAGTTGTTACTGTCTCTGTGACCCTTAAGACTGTGAGTTACGACTGTGTTGCTCTGAGCACAAACTCCTGGGATTCTGGAAACCTTAGCCAAGGGTTTTTGGAGCCACAGGAAACAGAATTTCAGACACAGCACCTGCTTCATTTGGCAGGTGAACTGAAGGAACAGCATGGAATTCAGGCACTCTTGGGATTAGACTAGGAGAACTGCTGACCTGGGAATATTCCAAGGAGACCGTCTGTCTCACAGCATCCTGTACATCCTGTGATGAGAACCTGGATTCTCCCATATCATAAACTGGATGTTTCCTGCCCCTCCCCCAATATGGTCACAGTTTGGACCATGACCTCTGCCTCTCTACTGGGGACCCAGAGCAGGCCCTGTGGTGAGAAGTGTTGCAGGACCCTAGAATTCAGCCCTTTCTTGCTATGATGGGAAGATAGTGCCTGCAACTCAGGACTGTACACATCTTGCTTCCATGGGACCCCTCCCCCATGGCTCCCTGGTCTTATTCATTCTTCATGAGTTGCCCCATGGATCTGTGACTCTTCCAGTTTGAATAGTAAAGAATTCACATTCAGGAACTGGTTCTGATTAGATCCAGACTACACACCACAGCAGGCTCCAAGTTGGAGCCTGAACCCAGGGTTCTTGCTTCTTGGGTCTCGGTGGAGGCACTCAGCTGTGCTTGGCTAGGATGGAGTCTGGAACCCTGTTGTTCTGAGCCCATTTAGCCCATCTCTGAAGCCTGGTGCTGCACAGTGGGCCAAGGTGATTTGGAGTCCTGCCCTGGCTAGGTAGTCTCTTTCTCCTTAGAGTCTCAGCTTTGTTCTCTGTAGAGCCCTGGGGGCTCTCTGCCTCAGTGAGTGCTCCCACAACTGATATCTTGGGAGCTTTAGGGAAAGTGCTGGGAGCACAGGGGCCTTCTAGAATGGAGGTCTCATGCCACAGACATGCCATCTGAAACCATCAGAGGTCACCGCTGAGCTATGTCCCCAGACTAGGCCTGGTGCTCAGTGCTCATGGTATGACATACCAGGCACAGCTGGGGGAACTGCTGTCCTCTGATCCCTTGGAAGACATTTGGAGGGGGGCAGGCAGTGACTTCTAGGCTCCTAATCCCACGATGCCTAGATTGCCCTGTATTGCACTGAAACCAGGGGGGTGCTTAGCAGCTCGGGTCACCTTGCCCAGATTTGTGCTCACTCTTCTTCCCGCCCACCTGATGCCTACTCATCTTTCTAACCACAGGTCAAGTGCCTCTTCTCCAGGAAACCTTCCCCAGCAGGGGCCTCCCCACCACCAGTGCCTCCTTTCCCAACAGAGCCTCTTCAGCTTCCTTCAGGCCTAATCACCCTGAGTTGTCACTGTCTGTTTCTGGGTGTGCCTCCTTGACCTTGACAGTGACCATTTTGAGATTAGGGAAGAATGTAACCTCAGAGTCACAGGGGAAAACCTGGGGACAGCAGAGTGCAGGGGGCTCGGGACCTCCTTCCTCCTGAAGATGGGTGTGGGAGTGTGAGGTGCTGATCTTAAGTCAGCCTGGCGGTCACCCTTGACACTGTAGCCTCACCCATAATTCCTGCAGGACTACTTGCCCCTTTCGTCTTTTGGGGGTACCCCATCCTTCCTGTCTCTATCCTACATGGCAAGCTCCTCTCTTGTTATTCTGGTGTGTGTGTGTGTGTGTGTGTGTGTGTGTGAAGTTTTGCTCACAAGCAAATTCTGTTCTGTTAAGAGGAGATTGACATGTGGTCTGTGGGATTGACAGCTCTGTCCATCCAACCGCTGAGGAGGGAAGAACAGATTTCCCTCCCACCTTGTGCTTTCTCTTCCCTCCGTGTGTGTGTGTGTGTGTGTGTGTGTGTGTGTGTGTGTGTGCGCGTGCGCGTGTGTGCATGCATGGTGTGTGTGTGTGTGTGTGTGTGTGTGTGTGTGTGTGTGCGCATGTGTGCATGCATGGTTTTTGAGACACGGTTTCTCTGTAGCTTTGGAGCCTGTCCTAGAACTCACTCTGTAGACTAGGCTGGCCTTGAACTCACAGAGATCTGCCTGCCTCTGCCTCCTGAGTGCTGAGTGCTGTATTAAAGGCATGCACCACCACTGCCTGGTCTGGCTCTCCTCCCTCTTGATGCTGTTCTAAGTACAGTTTTCAGCTCCCCTCTCGAAGTCTCTTCCTGACAAAGGCAGGTGGGTAGCAGGGGCCTCTGGAGTGTGATAAGACACTCTCCCTTGCCCAGCTGGACAGGGTCCACCAGCCTAGCAGGTGGCACATTCCAGAGCCACCCTAGCAGAGGAGCAGGAATGGGCTCCAACCACCCAAGAAAGTCCACTGCCAGCCTAGGAACAGCTTCCTTCTCTTGGCTTTAGTCTTACTAGCCTGGGACTAGTGAGAAGGAACAGGTTAGAGTCGGCGAACCTCGTCTCCTGGAGATGGAACGAAGGGGCAGAGCTTTAGAGGCTTCTTGGGGATGGGATCTGGGCATTGCAGGGTGGGTAAGAGGTAGCAATCAGGAACACAGCAGAACTCTGCGCTGTTTGCTAGTTTTGTGTCCCTGAGGAGGTTTTTTTAGCCTGTCAGAACCTCCAGATTAAGTGAGAAGAGGCTTAGGAAGCCACCTAACGTAAAAATGGGGCAGAGAATGCTTAGTGCTCACCACCAAACTGATGGTTGAAGATGAGGGGAGCTGCCACTGAGTGAGATGGAACCCTGTGACCGCTTCAGTCATACTGAGACAGGAGCATGAGGGAGAAG